ACATTCAAGGGGCCAAAGAGCCACATGTGGCTCGAGAGCCGCAGTTTGCCGGCCACTGTTCTAGGCAGTATCCAGGGTGGTGGGAGCTGCCCTGTATGGGAACCCCTACACCATCCAAATCTGGCAAATGGTAATTTTATCATGTCTGCTTCTCTCGTTTATTATCGAGATAGAATGTGACATGCATTTGAAGCTCCCTTTGTTTTTCTCCCTAGTCCCCTTCTCTTCCCTCCCTCCCCAGAAGTGGCATTCTCCTGAATATGGTGTTTATCATTCCTTGCATGTTTTTATACTCTTTACTGTAATCTGTAAGGAATTCATATACTGTGGTTGCTTGAAATTTGATCTGTACCATGTTGAATGCCGTTCTTCTTGAACTGGCATTTTCTGGATTTATGTCTGGATTTACCCGTGTTGATATATTTAAATCTAGGTTATTCATCTAACTGTGTCTGTTGGTATGTGTTGTATAAGTACATCACAGTTGCCTTGTTAGTGGGCTTTTAGGTGGTTTCCATCTTCGCAGCACTGTAAAGAACACTGTATTGAACATTCACGTGACTGCCTTCCTTCTCTGCTGTGTGTATCAGCCGTGGGATTACTGGGTCAAAGTTGTGCTTTTTAAGACACTGTTGACCAAATACTGCCCCCACATGATTCCTAACCAATTTATATTCTTGCCAGAAAGATGAGAGCTCCTATTTCACTAACATCCTGGATTGTATCTTTTACCCTAGTAGACATGAAATGGTATTTTAAAATTATCTTATAAATTGGTTTTTAAGGTTAGCACTTTGATTACAGGAAGAGATGGTCACTTTTCCTGTTTATTGTCCAAGCATGTTTATTATTCTGTGAATGTTGCACTTCATATTAAAAAAAAGTTTTTTTTAAAACCAGTTAATATATTCACATGATTCAAACCCTCAAAGGGAATACAGAGAAAAATTTCCCACCCCTGTCTCCTAGCTCACCATGTCTGCACCCTGCAACCTGTTAGAGGTTCTTGTGTGCTTTTTTTTTTTTGCTTTTTTTTTTTTTTTAATATATTTTATTGATTTTCCACAGAGAGGAAGGGAGAGAGATAGAGAGTTAGAAACATCGATGAGAGAGAGTCATGATCAGCTGCCTCTTGCACACCCCCTACTGGGGATATGCCCAACCAAGGTACATGCCCTTGACCGGAATCGAACCCGGGACTCTTCAGTCCCCAAGCCGACGCTCTATCCATTGAGCCAAACCGGTCTCGGCTCTTGTGTGCTTTTTCACTTTTAATTGCCATCATCTTTTTCTTACTGATTTTTAGGAGTTAAAAAATACGTGTTAAATAATTATCTTGCTTGCTGTTCATATTCATTAAATATAGCTCTTGATTGTCTTAATTTTATTAATGCCATTTTTCATAGGGAAGCTTTAATTTTAATGTCAGATTTACCAATCTTTTGTTTGTACTTTCTGCTTCTTGTTAAAGAAGTCCTACTCTAAAAAAAAAAAAAGAAAGAAAGAAAGAAAGAAAGAAAGAAAGAAATCCTACCCTGATTTAAAAATATTTTTTGTTTTATTTTTTCCATCACCACTTATCCCCTCTAAGCCCTCTTTGATTTTTTAAAAATATATATTTTATTGATTTTTTTTACAGAGAGAAAGAGAGAGGGATAGAGAGTTAGAAACATCGATGAGAGAGAATCATCGATCAGCTGCCTCTTGTACACCCCCTACTGGAGATGTGCCCGAAGCCAAGGTACATGCCCTTGACCGGAATCAAACCTGGGACCTCTCAGTCCGCAGGCCGATGCTCTATCCACTGAGCCAAACTGGTTTTGGCAGCTCTCTTTGATTTTTAAGAAATGTTTTTTTCGTTTCTACTCTGAATTTATAAATCTATATTTTAATGTTCTGTTTTATAAATTTAAGTTTTGCTTCCTATACTTAAATTTTAAAAATGTTTTATTGACTTCAGAGAGAGAAAGGGAGAAGGATAGATGAGAAACATTGATGAGAAACATCTATGAGAAACATTGATGGGCTGACTCCTGCACGCCCCCTATTGGGGATCGAGCTCCCTGACCAGGAATTGAACCTGTGACCTCCAGGTGCGTGGAACAATGACCTCAACCAACTGAGCCACAGGACCGGGCCCACACTTAGATTCTAAATTCACCTGGAATGCATGTGTGTGGACATATATATGTTTTTATTTTTTTATTTTTTTAGGGGAAAAGAGAGAGAGACCTTGATTGACTGCCTCCTGCATGCATCTTGACTGGGATCAAACCCACAACCTGGGTGTGTGCCCTGACCAGGAATTGAACCTGGTGGAAACCTTTTGGTGGATGGGGCGACAACCAACTGAGCCACACCAGCTGTTTATTTTTTAATATGACACGAGTTCTCAACCTTGGTTACACATTAAACCTCATGAGAAGCTTTTAAAAAAAATGTACTGATGCCTCACCTCAGATCTGACCAATAAAATAAAAATATTTTGGGGTGGGATCCAGGCAGGATTATGAAACACGTCTGAGGTGATTTTTATGGTCAGCCAAGGGTGAGAGCCACTCAGCCTTATAAGATGGAACTGATTTTATTTTATTTTCCAGAGGAATGGCCAATTTTCCCAGTACTCATTATGGAATAGTCTGAAGTTCCCTTCCTCTCTGAAATCAATAAAAATAAAATAAAATTCACCTGGACTCATGTGACATTTTTCCTGTAAGAACTCATGAACCGCCGAAACCGGATTGGCTCAGTGGATAGAGTGTCAGCCTGTGGACTGAAGGGTCCCAGGTTCGATTCTGGTCAGGAGCATGTACCTTGGTTGCGGGCACATCCCCGGTGGGGGGTGTGTGTTCGAGAGGCAACTGATGGATGATTCTCTCTCATTGATGTTTCCAACGCTCTATCCCTCTCTCTTTCTCTCTGTAAAAAAATCAATAAAATATATTTTAAAAAAAAGAAGTCATGAATCCACACACTGCTGGCTGGCCCTGGGCAGACAGACCCTCTAGGGCCAGGTCCCCTTTCTGGTAGCAGGAGGACAGAGCGAGAATGCTGATGGAGCTGTTGGTCTCTTTTTTGTGGCCTTCTTCCCAGCTGGAGCATTATTCCGTGATAGCAAGGCTTTGCCTTATTCATCGCTTTGTCCTCAGCACCTGGCCTGTGGTTGAGACCGACAGCAAACATGAGTGAGTGTGAGTCGTCCTGTTTCAGACAGGAAGCCAGCTCAGTCCGAGGTCTGCAGCTGCAGGCAGCAGAGAGGAGGTGAACAGTGTGACTCGCATTTTCAAACCTTTCTCCGTGTCTCCACTGGGGGTGTCTTTTCCTCCCAGCATACGAACCCCGCAAAATACCATTCATCTGGCATGTGTTCCCACAGCCGCCAGAATCGGGACTGGGCTTTTGAAGGCTGGAAGCCCTGGGGGGAAACGGGGTCCAGAAGCCCAGGAGGATCTGGTTCTCCTTACTTTTAAGAGGCAGTGATGGAGTTAGGTAGACAGGGCTCCCACGGAAAATAAGATGCCCGCTGCTCCCTGAGCCGCCGTGCAGATGAGAGCTCCCCCTGGGAGAGCTTCCAGGTGGAGAAGGTGGTTTTGTGCTTGTGCCCAGTCATCTATTTTTCTAAAAAAATTTATTTTTTATTTTTATTTTTAAATTTATTGATTAAGGTATCCATAAAAATCACCGCAGACGTGTTTCATAATCCTGCCTGATCCCACCCCAAAATATTTTTATTTTATTAAGGTATCACATATTTGTCCTCAATGCCCCCCATTCCAATCCCCCACCCCCCCCCACTCATGCCCCCACCCCCCTATTGTCCTTGACCACTGGTTAGGCTCATATGTATGCACATAAGATCTTTGGTTTAAAAAGAAATTTATTGGTTTTTTTTTTTTTTTTTTTTTTCAGAGAAGAAGGGAGAGGGAGAGAGAGCTAGAAACATCGATGAGGGAGAAACATCAATTAGCTGCCTCCTGCACCACCCCCTACTGAGGGTGTGCCTGCAAACAAGGTATATGCCCTTGACCGGAATCAAACCTGAGACCCTTGATGCTCTATCCACTGAGCCAAACCGGTTTCAGCATCAAAAGTCTTTATACAGTTGAAGATGGGGGACTCACGGGGGCATGATGGCTGGCCATTGTCCCGGGTCATCTGGGTGACATCCTGGGTGATTCTGTTTTGGCCCCTTTCTAAGGTTGCCTCACAGTGTGGGAACTTGTTCTGAGCCAAGTGTTCCTAGGGCCCCAGGGCATTCCCTCAAGGGGGCTTCGGGGTGGCACCTTCCGGTCCCATCCTAAGGACCTGGTGTTGGGGGATGAGTTTGCCTCTGACCCCCGCTGGCCAGTCCCGGGTAAGAGAGCAGGCAGCTCCGGATCTCAGGGCTGCCGTGAGGAGATTGTATAGGGAGTGTGTTTAGCGCGATGCCTGGGGCATCCAAATACAATACTAGTTGGTATTATTACAGTCTGGCATCTTGGGAACCCCGTGTGTCTGAATTTCTTGATCTGTAAGCCTGATGCTCACCTGCCCCTCCCCTGTGCCCGGGCTGCGGTTAACGACGGAAGGGTTAATATCCTCAGGCTTGAGGGCCTGGGTGGGGGAGGAGCCGCATAAATAGAGTATTATTGTGCTGGTGAATGAGCCGGCTTTGTTCGGCTGCCCTCTGTACTTCCTGCAGTCAGTGTCCCCGTGTTTAAAGTGTTTAAATTGCTGGGGTATTTGCATGCCCTCCTCCGTCGTGTCGTGTGGTGCTCACCTGCCGGGGCCTGCTGCATGGCGGCGGGAAGCTGCGTTTCCTCGGCGCGGGGCCTCCCGGGCATCAGGAATGACAGAAATGCAGAAAGTATGACCCACACGCAGAACTGGTTCTGAATAGAACGTTTATTGGGGAGGTTTTGCAGGAGGCACAGGCGCTGTAATTCCCCAGGCTATTGGAGCCTGTTAACTGCTCCCCTGCCGGTGGGGGAATGCTGCTTCCCGGTCCCAATGCTGCCCAGATGGGAGCCCTTTTGAGGAAAGCAGTAGGTACCCAGCGGGGGCCAGGCCAAGGGTGCGAGTGGGGTGTGGCCAGGACTCTGTCAACACCAAGCTCCCAGGGCTCCCCTTCCCCCCACTTCCCCTTGAAACCCAGCCAGCCACAGGCTTTGGGACAGAAGGTAGGTTTCTCCTTTGGGGGCTCAGAAACAGGCCTTCACAGGTACAGGGCTAGGACCGACAGCCGGTCCTTGTTATCCTGCCCGGCTGCGTCCAGTGGGTCTGTCCATCCTGGCTGGGTGAGCGCCTGGCAGGCCCGTGTCGGTGATTCTGCTAGGGGCCTTCAGAGGGCCTTCCGGTCTCCGGGCGGCCAGACTCCGGTGGTGGCAGGAGTGACCCGGCGCCCGCCCGCACGCAGGCACGCACGCGCTGGGGAAAGCAGAGTTAATCTCCCTCTTCTTCCTGGAGTTCCCTTTTCCCAGAATCCACAGAGTGTGGTTCTTAGAAAATCTGGCGGTGGCAGGTGGAGCCGGGGAAAGGCCATTCTCCCCGCCCTGTCTTGTCCTTGACAGACGCCACCAGGCAGGGGCAGTTCTCGCCACTCTGGGGCAGCTGGCCGTGCCATTGCCCCTCACTTCTGGAGCTCTGGGGTTTGGGGACCGCTGCCCTCCTGTCCAGCTGTGTAACCTCTCAGCTGGGGGAGAAAGCTCTTCTTCTCCCACTGGGGAACTGGTTGGATGAGTTTTCTGGGCCTCCCTGGTGAGGCCCCTTAGAAGGAAAGGCAGGGACCTGGGGGTGGGGGTGGGGCAGGTGCTGAGCGGGGAGAGGGCCCTCCTGGGCTCTGGGACAGGGACCCCTGAGGGGCAGTGCACGGGCCCTGCTGTCTGAAGGGCTGGCTGCCGTTGAGAACTGACCGTAGTGCGTGAATCTGGGAGGTCTGCCTGGGAGATCCACGTTCCTACGTGTTCTGGGTCAGGCACTGGGCCCAGGGTCAGCGTTCAGGCCAAGAAGGGGTGTTCGTGGGCTCCTCTCTTGCTGAAGTGCCTGCGGGATGGGGAAGGGCAGGGCTGCTTTGACGATGGAAACCACAGGAGGGGGCTGCTCACGCTTGTACACTTTTCTGGACGCCGATGCCCGGAAATGGAGAGGAAGCTTCCTGCTGGCAGCCTCGCCCCTGCATCTAACTTGCTTGGGGAGGGACAGTGAGAACTTGGGCCGGGAACCCCTCACCTGGGAGGTGTACACTGGCCCCTCCCCCAGCGTGGGAGGAGCCACTGGCCTGAAAGTTCCATGGGCCATTCCCTTCCGCTTAAGCCCAGGCTCTCTGTTTCTTTCTTCCTTCCTTCCTTCCTTCCTTCCTTCCTTCCTTCCTTCCTTCCTTCCTTCCTTCCTTCCTTCCTTCCTTCCCTCCCTCCCTCCCTCCCTCCCTCCCTCCCTCCCTCCCTCCCTCCTTCCTTCCTTCCTTCCTTCCTTTCTTCCCTCCCTCCCTCCCTCCCTTCCTCTCTCCCTCCCTCCCTCCCTTTCCTTCCTTTCCTTCCATATATTTTATTGATTTTTTTTTACAGAGAGGAAGGGAGAGGGACAGGGAGTTAGAAACATCAATCAGCTGCCTCTTGCATATCCTCCATTGGGGATGTGCCAGCAACCAAGGTATATGCCTTGACTTGAATCGAACCCGGGACCCTTCAGTCCACAGGCCGACGCTCTGTCCACTGAGCCACACCGGTCAGGGCCCAGTCTCCTTTTCTAGAGGAGGCGTTCTCGTCCTCCTTTAGAGCCACTTAATTCCCAGGTGGCTTCATAGCTTCACATCTGCTTGGGGCTTGTCCCTTTTCCCTTCCCAGGGGTTGGAAGATGTCTCATTCTTTCTCGCAGGTGCTTCCTAGGGCTCTTTCTCCTCCTTTAAGTGGCCAAAGGAGTCGGCACCTTTTCGGGCCTCTGGGTTCTTTTTTTAAAAATATATTTTATTGAATTTTTTTTACAGAAAGGTAGGGAAAGAGATAGAGAATTAGAAACATCGATGAGATGTTTAGACCAGCTGCCTCCTGCACACCCCCTATTGGGAACGTGCCCACAACCAAGGCACATGCCCTTGACCGGAATCGAACCCGGGACCCCTCATTCCGCAGGCAGATACTCTATCCACGGAGCCTACACTGGTTATCTGGACTCCTGCCGCCATAGCCCCACCTGGCGGTTTCTCACACCTGGTCTCAGAGCGCCCCATCTCCACCTGTCTCTGAGGTGGTTCCTCCAGGCCTGGCTCAGGTGTGTCCTTTTCCATAGAGCTGTTGCCCATTCCTTCCGTCGGTCCCGGGCCTGCCTTTCAGCCTGGCCTCTTGCTGCCAGCTGCCCAGGGCCGTGGGTGGTCCGGGTTCTTTAGGGACTCAACTGTCCCAGGCTGCTGCCTCGGCTCACGTGCCCCCTCCTTGAAGTGGGCCCCGCCCCCGCAAGTGGTACTTCTGTACCAGCGTTCAACTCAATGCTGCGTGGATCATCGGTTACGTGGCTGTTTTCCCTCCTAGAGTTCAGTTCCTCAACGACAGGGACAAAGTCTTATTTAGTTCAGGGTCCCCAGGGCCCAGCAGGCATATGCCCCACACGGGAGGCAACCTGGAATTCCCGTACTGCCTACGACACCCTCTTCCTCCTGTTACTGATGCACTTGTCTGTTTCTCCTGATGGACTATCAGCTCTGGGGAGCGGGTTCTGGGTGTGGTTTATTTTTGGACCTCCCTCAAGGCTGCCACGATGTCTTTGTGCAAAGTGAGTGCTTAAAAATACTCGTCCAGCCAAAATCGGTTTGGCTCAGTGGATAGAGCATCTGCCTGCGGACTCAAGGGTCCCAGGTTCTATTCCGGTCAAGGGCATGTACCTTGGTTGCGGGCACATCCCCAGTAGGGGGTGGAGTGTGCAGGAGGCAGCTGATCGATGTTTCTCTCTCATCAGTGTTTCTGACTTTCTATCCCTCTTCCTTCCTCTCTGTAAAAAATAAAAATCAATAAAATATATTTAATAAAGAAAAAATACTTGTCCGGTGACTTCTGAAGCTCGCAGTTTCGGTAGGAAGGGCAGTCGTGTCATCCCGAAAGAGGGTGGACAGGGGGCAGAACCCCTGCCTTGCTCCTTCTAGCCAGCTGGTTAGGAGCAGAGCTAGGACTGGTGTCGAGCGGTGCTGGCTGGAGCCCTGGGCTCATTCACACACATTCTGCTGCTCCCCCCGCCCGCCCCCCCCCCCCCATGTGATATTCCCTGGGACTTAGAAAATGGGCGAACACCAGGGCTTTGCCCCTTCTCTTGCACCTTTGCCTTATGTCCTGGCTCTCCACGCATGTCCAACTTCATGAAGCTGGTTTCTGTCTTTTCTTTAAAACCCAAGGATCAGTGTCAAGGATCCACGGATATGTGATTTTGCTACCTCCCGTTTTACCTTACATTCTGCTCCTCCTCAGGCCTGCTCTCCAGGGCTCCGCTCCTCTTCCAGCTCCGAGCGGGACATGCCGTCCTCCCTGTGGAACCCCGAGGAATGCGTCTTGCCCGCCGCAGGGGAGGACTCGGGATTATTTATACTTCATCTTCTGGCTTGACCTTCTGTTGGGCATGGACGTTGGACTGTTTTCCTTTCCAGCGGAGTTGGTTTATGTTTGCCCTTTTGAGCGCTTGGTCCAAGGCGATGCTGGGATCATAGATGATGGATGGCCGGTGGGGAGGGTTAGGTCACACTGGCTCACCACGTTTCACAGATATCTTTGTTGCCGATTTGAGATGTGGTTCAACATTTTTGGTACAAGTCGGAAAACTCTTTTGCCCTGGTTGCTTGTGGGACAAATAATAATTTATCCATCATCATCCTCATCCTCATCCTCATTGCCACCATTTATGGTGGTCTTTGTCAGATGTTGTACACATAACTTTGCTTGTATGATTTCAATCTTGGAGATCAACCTGGTTGGTGGTGTTATTATTTTTAATATACTTTTATTGATTTCAGTTAGGAAGGGAGGGAGGGAGAGACAGAAACATCAATGATGAGAGAGAACCATTGGCTGCCTCCTGCACGCTCCCTACTGGGGATGGAGCCTGCAACTGGGCATGCACCCTTGACTGGAATTGAACCCAGGACCCTCAGACTGCAGGCCAATGCTCTACCCACTGAGCCAAACCAGCTGGGGCCGGTTGGTATTATTGCTATGCTCATTTTGCAGAGGAGGATCTTGAAGCTTGGCTAGATCAGGTGACTTGCCTGAGGCCACACACAGCCGGAAAAGTGGAGGATCCTGGGCTTAAGCCAGGCCTGTCTGACTCCAGAACCTGCGGATCCATTTAGCGGATAGAACCTCTGGGCTCTGTGGACTCCCGTGCGTGCACATACTTGTGTGTTCTCTCTTCCTCTGCTGAGAACCCTGGGGACCCAGCGAGGCCCCTCTGTTCCCACGGGTTCCTTCTGAGATTCTCCAGATGCCTTTGACCGGATGTAGTAAATGCTGCCGCTCTTGAAGGTGTGGCTCCTGTTTCCTCTTCACCCTACCCCAGCCTAGAGACCTCGAATCTGGCAGCCCCTACCATGGGGAAAGGGGCACCAAGATGGCTCATTGGCAGGGGTGGGCCCCTGGATTTTGCTGATTAGGAGTGGTGGTCCTAGAAGCCTTTTTTTTTTTTTTAATAAAATATATTTTATTGATTTTTCACAGAGAGGAAAAGAAAGGGATAGTTAGAAACATTGATGAGCGAGAATCATCGATCAGCAGCCTCTTGCACACCCCCTACTGGGGATGTGCCCGCAACCAAGGTACATGCCCTTGACCAGAATCGAACCCGGAACCTTTCTTTTTTTTTTTTTTTTTTTAATATATTTTATTGATTTTTCACAGAGAGATAGAGAGTTAGAAACATCGATGAGAGAGAATCATCGATTAGCTGCCTCTTGCACACCCCCACTGGGGATGTGCCCGCAACCAAGGTTGCCCGGAATCGAACCCGGAACCTTTCAGTCCGCAGTCCGATGCTCTATCCATTGAGCCAAACCTGTTTCGGCCCTAGGAGCCTT